TAGTAGTAGTAGTAGTAGTAGTAGTAGTAGTAGTAGTAGTAGTAGTAGTAGTAACTGTAGTAGTAGCAGTAGCATCAGCAGCAGCAGTAGTAGTAGGAGTACTATCATTATCATTAATACTATCGTCTATTGTGATAAACTCACCGTGTCGCTTTGTGTCCGGCCATAAATGAAGACCCTGCCTTGGTCGTGCCCGTCCTCTTTGTCCGAAAGGTCCGAGTACTGCGGGGCTCCAATCAGCAGCTCGTCATAGCCGTCACCATCTATGTCCACGGCACACAGTGATGCCCCGAAGAACGACCACACCTGAGCGATTACAAGACATACATAGGGTAAAAGTAAACTTGGACTTGACACACTTTGAATATATCGTTCGTAATGTTCAGAGGTGGCCAAACACAATGACCCTCTAAACCATGAAAGCCACTCACACGGTCTACCTTACAGCATGGACTAGCTTCTAGAGACACAGGGGTAGGGGTGCCCAGTTGACAGCCTTTGTGAAGTTTACATATCCCGAAAAGTGAAAATGGGCTTTGCCACTGAACCAAATGTCATTTAAGAAATGTTCAGAAACTTGAAACATGAACAGAAATAAGGAGACAAGCTGATGTCAAGGTGCGAGCGGTGTGATTGCCACGCCACTTATTGTTCTTGCACCAGCACATAGAATCAAAGATTCAAAAGAAAATGGTGTTATTCAAAACAAAGAAAAACTGAGTGGTCCTTACAAATGTGACAATCACACTACTGGCATCGAGACTTTGTCTTCCGATCCTTTTTGGCCAGTCTTTTGAGACCCAGGAGACTCATCATTTGGCTTGGACCTCTTCCTTTCACTTTGGATTAGAACAGACGACACTTGAGAGGGGGTCAGAGACTGAAGCACAGTCTTAGTGTTTTGTTTGATTGGCAGATTGAGTATAGAGACAGTTTAGCACCATATGAACTGCTGGACAACCAGTTGTCTTGCCACAGTCATGTTGCAGAGCTGCCTGTTGTCTGTGAGTGAAAGCGTATCATTGTGGAGCTTGGCTTGCCAAATGACATGTGAGGCAATGGAACTGAGGTCGATGATGTTGAAAAAGACTACAAGGAGCTATCTGTTTGTCTTACATTTCACAGCAAAAGCATGTCGTGGTCCATTGCATCCACACCACCTTTGGTTCTGTTATAATTATAATATAATGCAGGACAATTTCAAGCTTTCCATTGTACCCAGATCTTCCAGGAGCAGAGTGCATTGTACTGAGGAGAAGGATATTTTTTTGTTTCTTGCTTTGATAGGAGACCAGAGATCATGCATTCTTTCGAAATACAAATGCTGACTCCGAAAAAGCCAAGTTCTTTTTTGCCTGGAAGTTCACAGGGAGAAATGTTTTGTTCCTCCTAACTGTTCCAACCATAGTAAGGTTGTCTTTTTTCCAGAACTCCAGCCAAGTCAAGACTGGTAAAAAAAAAAATTGTCAGAAGCGATATTTCTGCCACTGCCCTTGAAGTTTTGAGTCAGCTTTAGATTAGTGTTGGAACCAACGGCACTGTTGTTCTCTGAGTCTGGTCTTGGTCCTGTGTGCCCTTTGCTCAAATAGGGAAAGCCTCTTAGTGGGTAGCTGCTTTCAAGTCACACATCTAGAAGATCAGGGGTGTGGTGACTAAAAGACAGCAGTAAGAAGGAGCCAAGCAGCAGCAGTAGAAAAGCTGCAGAAAGAGTCAGGAGCCCAGAAGAGGGGGCAAAGGAGGTGAGGGGGTGGGGACAAAAGAGGAGACGAAAGCAGACGATAGAACATTGCTAGAGAGAAGGAAAGGAGGTGAAAGGAGACAATTTTAGAGAAGAAAATGTTTCGTTCGCAACCCGGATTCGAACACGGGACCTTTGAATGAGAGGCCAACACTTAACCTCTAGGCCAAGAGAGCCCCCCTGTGATCGTTTTGGGACTTTTAGTCACAGGCATAATTAATGTAAACGCGTGTGTCATGCTACAAAAATGGGGACATGGCTGAAAATGAGCTTATTTTTATGCGCTATATAGAGAAAAACTGCACTGTGGAATTATCTAAAGTAAATATCAGTCATATTCCTTTTAACGTCTAAATATTGTGTTCAAATTTGAAACACAAATCTTCAGTGTGGGGAAAATATTTTCTACAAAAGTTATTAAATTGTTGGGGTTGGGGTTTTTTTAGATCACCCTGTTTGGAAAAAAAGAAGCATAATTTTAACTTCATTATTCGTATAGATTTTTTAAATTGTGCTTTTCTTGGGAATCACAACAAGAAGGGCAAAATCATAATAGTTTGAAATATTCAAACTGCATGTTCGTTGATTCGAAATGTGCCGCAACATTTCCTTTGATCCTCTCCTGATCAGACACAATATATATGTGTCCGCTACAAAGATTAGAGATCGTGTGCAAAATTCAAATGTATTTTTGCCAGTTCTGCAGCTCATGGCGTTCTAGATTGTAGACGTATTGGTCCTCTCTCCTTTCCTTTGAAATCAGCTCTTCAACTTCAAGTCAAGCTGGAAGCTGCTGTGCTGCATGAGAGACTTAGGTGAGTACAGGTTGAGTATAACTTCTCTTCCACCCCTACCCCCATCCCCATTTCTCCCCCCCCCCAAACAAACAAACAAACAAACAAACAAACAAACAAACAAACAAACAAACAAGCAAGCAAACAAATCAATGGTTTCGTTCATCAAGATGATCACAACTCACTTGAATAATGTTCCATTTCTGCTAGACATAGCTGCAACAGCATCCCTTGGAAGACTCAGAGCAAGGGTTCAGGGCGATTGTTTTACGGAGAAACAAAATTACGCTGTCGTCTGTATAGTGGTCTTATAGTGCCCACTGTGAGCTTATGGGATTTGGCCGATTCTGGAAAAGTCTGGGCTGGCCAGGGCGGCTAGTAGACTTTGGTCTCTAACTGATACAGTTCCCAAAGCACTTATGGTCCACAAGGATTTACTAATACATCTAAGAGTACATCAGACAACAAAGAGCATAACAGAGAGCAAATCAAATCGCGAATTCAAAGCATTCACGAAAAAAGAAAGGGTGAAATGTGAATAAGAAAAATATGAGAAAAATAAACAAACAAATAAACAAACAAACAAATAAAAAACAACCAGTGTGCAGTATGCTCCAATGAGTAACAGGCATGGTCATTCCAAACACCAAGACTTTGCTTCTGTAGTGGAAGGGAAAACCAGCAGACAGAACTCTTTGAACTTTTACTTATTAAAGGGGAGGTAAATCATCTTAAAATTTCCATACAAGATGTCATCATCATGAGAGATCTTGCCCCTGAGATGCATTCTGAAACATAATGTTGTCATTTCTTTTTCAACTGCGTGCCACTCTAGTCAGACAAATAGAAAACTAACATGTTGGGATGCATACATATTTGTCACGACGCAGTGGAATCAGGCGCTCGTTTATTTTGGGACATATGGAGTTTTTGGTATCATCTTAAAGGTTGTTCATTTGCCTTGCTTTTGATGAAAAAAATACCCATTTATCTTGAATAAAATTCTAGATATTTGCTATTGAAGGAGGAAGGGTCGCCTGGTTTCAGAGGTAAAAAAAGGCCACCAAAGTTTGGTGACTTTCATAGCTTAAGAGTCCTTCAAAACTGCAATTATAAATTTGTTGTGCCTCTAATCAACGTTTATCCATAAAATCTACAAATAAAGGTGTTTTTGAATGGACATACAAGGTGTTGAGCCAAAAAACAAAATTTCGAGAAAAAAAATTCCAATCTGGCTGAAAAATGCTGATTTCTCGAATTTCATTATTTTGACGAGCGTCTGATTTCACCACGATGCCTCACATATAAGTGCTACAAACAGAATCATTTCAACTTTGTGGTTTGATGTTTCGACCTCTTAGAAGTCTCATAACGACATACCTGTGTTCCTTCTATAAGGCTTATCACTGTTAGCTTTTTTTTGTCGAGCCACTTGTATATTGATACCTGGAAGACAGAAGAAGGCTACATTTTTATAAGGCCATTCAGACTGTCGCATTGTATAATAGGCGACATATTTTCATAACGAATAGTAAAAGCAAATAGTCTTCCTGGCCGTGGGTTAAAATTACTTGTAAAAGGGTAGGAGTTTGGAAAACAAAAAGAGGG